CTTAAATTAAGTATATCTTTCATTTCTCTTTAGAAGTAGGCGTCTTATCTCTGTCATTTTAGGACTCTTCTGAAAGTTACTGAGAACCCGAAGAACTTATGTGTTTGGGTTCTTTCTATCGATATTTATTCTAATATTTACTCTTGGAAACTAAAACTGAGCTGAATTGATTTGAAATAATGTTTTATGAAAAGTAACTTCATTGAAAAAGATTAGTGAGAAGAATGCCATTTTTCTACAATTTTTCAAGTGTCTTTAATGTCATGTTTCCAGTTAGTCTGTTGTGATACATGGTTTTGGGGAAAGTATATGAACAAAATACAGCCTCACACAGATCTGTAATTGGAAAGGCAAGGAATTTTTTTTTTAATGGCGTTTAGACAATCATGGCTATTATTTGATACCACACCAAAACTCAGTGAGTGTTAGTTTCTTAAAACGTAGTTACAATGTGGAATCTGAAGGCAGGTCACTGAACTTCACTTGCTTTGTTTATTTCTGCTTTGTTTACTTACACCATTGCAACTTGGGAGGGCTGTTTCACCTGTGTGTGACTTTATAACGTCATATACATGTGTCATTTAGAAAAGGTTGGTGCTTTGGGTCATGCAGATCTTCCAGATGTTGTTGAATGCAGTATCAAAATATCACATTGATTTGTATCATTAATCTCAGAAAAATCTTTAAATTTTGTATGCTTCGAAACTCATAGTGATGTTAGTGAAAGCTTAGATTTCGCAACTTAATTAAAAGTTATGTTGCAGGGCCTCCCCGGTGGCGCAGCAGTTGAGCGCTGGGTTGTGAAGCTGCCTGCGGCCTCTGCGGCGCCGGTTCGATCCCCGGCTGCTCCCCGGCCACCAGAGGAGGGTCCCACATGGCGCGCAGACCTCTCCTGCCGCCCGCTGCTTCCCTCAGCAGTGTACTTCGGTCCTTCTGCCTGCTCTGCTCCCCACTCCGGCTCTGGTGAATCCTCTCACCCTCCCGTGCTTCTGACTGTACCCAGTGCATGTATAAACAAAACACACAAATAAATAAATAAATAAATAAAACATGCCTCTATTAAAAAAAAAAAAAATTAAAAAAAAAAAAAGTTATGTTGCAAAACCAGGTTTAAACCTGGTTTAAACACTGTATGTTTAGGAGGGTCACACCTCTACAAATGTTTATCATGCATGAATCCTGCCAAAGCCCCAACAGATCTTCAGGAAAGTCTATTGTGCCCCTTCCCTTTTGATTCCACCATCCCTGCCTTCCCCTTTTGGTAGCGTCAGTTCTGCAGTTTGAAGCATTTGTTTTGTTTTGTTTTCTTTTCTTTTCCTTGAAAGGTTAAAGTTTATTATTGGCAATACAGTCAGTTGTTTTTCTTGAAGTAACAGACTCACTTCATTTTTCTTTTTTTAAGATTTATTTATGCCTACAAGAGCTGGGGTACAGGCCAGAGGTGTGTGTGTGTGGGGGGATGAAAGGATTCACCAGAGACAGAGTAGGGAGCAGAACAGGCAGATTGACCGAAGTACACTGCTGAGGGGAGCAGTGGGCGGGTGAGTCAGGAGACTTCTGCGCCATGTGGGTTGCTCCCTGGCCAGCTGGGAATCAAACTCATGCTGCAGTGGCTGCAAATTGCTTCATAGGTCGCGTCTTAACCCTCGCGCCATCAGGGAGGACCCCCTATTTTCAAGAAGATGTTTACCAGTACCTAAGTCTGAGTGACCATGGTTTCTCTGTGGGTGATTTTTTTCTGCTTAATCAGTGAATTTATATCTAATACATTTATTAATTGAACATTCTAACAATGAGTTGGAAATGCTGTGTAGAACCATTTTTGCTGAGTAAATGAGTAGGTCATCCCTGCAGACCATTCATTCAGCCAACATGCTCATACACTGACCTCCACTGTATGCCAAGCTCTGCCAGGAATCCTGTGAGACTCTGGAGGGGGTAGAAGTTCTAACATACCTTACTAAGCCCCATGGTAGGTGATCTTTTCTTAACTTTCCTGTTAAGAACACATTTCGTAAAATAGTTAAATACAGTTTTAGTCTTTGTGGCAGAGGCCTGTCCCTTGTCCCTTAGAGGGGTAGTTGAAGGAACATGAGAAGAACTCTTAGTCTGGGAACTGTGTTCTATGTTAAGTTTATGAAGTTTAAATTTAGCTCAAGTAAGTAAACTGTAAATTCAGCTATAAGTTTCTTATAGATGTTCTTTTCTGTCACTCAAAGCAGCAGGGGCAGAACTAGAGAGCAGACATGGCAAGCAGGTCTTAAGTTATTGTCTTTCAGCCCAAAGACAGCGCGCCTTACTTGGGTGTTGAACAGGACTCTGTCCTGGTCCATTCTTCCCTGAGGTAGAAGTCCATTCTTCCCTCAGTGTGCTCAGGGAAACTTCTCTCTTTCTGTTTCCTCAGAGTCAGGACTGTCTCCAGTTGGGTCCTCCTGCTGAAGGGGAAGTGGTCCAAGTGAGATGGACAGATGGTCAAGTCTACGGAGCCAAGTTTGTGACCTCTCACCCCATCCAGATGTACCAGGTAGCCAAGGGTTTTTGCTGGGGATGTATTTCCTCTTGGGCCGAGGTGAGTCTTTGCCTTGGGAGAGCTAGGGTTTCAGTAACACCCTTCTCAGAACTAGGGACTACCTGGGTTCTGCCTGCCAGGTAAGGTTTCTGACCTTCCTGTGACTTCAGAAAACACTGCATGTGGTAGACCAGGGAGACAGTCAGGGATATCTCAGCCAAAGGCCTTTGTTTCCTGGGTAGGTGGAGTTTGAAGATGGCTCACAGCTTGTGGTTAAGAGAGATGATGTGTACACGCTGGATGAAGAGCTTCCCAAGAGAGTCAAGTCGAGACTGGTGAGTGCATTTTCTGGGTGTCCTTAATTCCTTAATCTGGGTGGGAGGGCACAAGGCAAGGATGTGTCCTTTTGTTGTTACTTTTTTTGGGGGGTGGGAAGTGGGGTGTTGACCACAAAGTGCTCATTTGGTTTGCTTCTTCTTCTTTAGTCAGTAGCCTCAGACATGCGCTTCAATGAAATTTTCACAGAAAAAGAGGTTAAGCAGGAAAAGAAACGACAGCGAGTTATCAACTCAAGATACCGGGAAGATTACATCGAGCCTGCACTGTACCGGGCCATCATGGAGTAGGCGCTTCCAGAGGCCGAGAGATTTCCAGCCATTGAGGCAAGAGCACTCCGGGGATTCCACAGCACAGCAGACACTTGGAACTCTGAAGTCTCTACAGGCGAAGCTGTAAAAAGAAAAAGAATGAAATAACCGACCCCATCATCTTCTCATCCCACCCTCATTGCATTCCACTGTAGTGAAAGGACAAGCTGTTCTTGGACACGTGGCAGCAGCCGAACTCCCAGCTGAGGGGCTGAGCACTGGAATGCTGTGGCTGCACTGGCCCCAGTCTCTAGCAGGGTCGACTGCCAGCTGGGCTGGATGCCCTGTTCTGGCCTAGGACTTGGCTTCCAAACGATCACCTGCACTGACTAGGCAGAGGTGCTGGTGCTTGTCCCCTCCCCTTTTGTATTTATGTGTGTGTTTGCGTGCGTGAGTGCGTGTGTGCGTGTGTGTTTGGTCTGGACCAGCTTCTGCCTGCCCCTGGCCTCTACTTCCTTGCCTATCCGGGCCAAACAAAATGTGAAATTCTGCCCTCAGCTGAGCTGAGTAAGGGCCCCTACAGGTAGGCTGGAGGTGGGTGTAGCATCTGTCTCTCCCTGGAACTATCTTGAGGGAGTGCTGGCAAAGCTGCAGTATTGAGATTGTAAGGAGTCAATGCTACTTCTATCCTCTCATAAAGGAGAAGGTAGGGGTAACATGGATATGTGCCCACATCACTCTAGGCACAGAGCCCCCGTGGCACAGTATTATAGGGTGTGGGTGGGAACACCCTGACGGATGGATCTTAATGATGGAAGCAGGCAGAGCCTGGTGGGTGATTCTTTTAACAGAAAATTGCAATCATGCAGGGGCTGGGAGGGTTAGGATGAATTTGGGGCCACTGGAGGCCAGGGGCAGGTTTAGCTAGAACCCTGGTCTTGAGGGAGGGGCTGTTATGGGGAGGGGGGGTGGGACTGGAGGGCAATACTGAAGGGGTTAAACAGGTTTTTGCTCCTCATAAATTTGTTTGCCTGGGCCCAGGATTGAAGGGCTTCACACCTATATCCTGTGTATACAAGAATCAGATTTATAATACTCCCTGTTTTTTGTTACGTATGAACGCTATAAACCAAATTATTTTGAAAACCGGTGCATTACCTTGTCTTTAGCAATAAAGTGTGTTGAGCAGAGGATTGGCTGTGTCTGCCCCAAGGAGCCCTAGAGGCCCAGGGTCAGGCTGAGGGTATATTGAGGGTCTCAGGCTAGGGAGCAGAGCCACATATTTTAAGACTCCAGTAGATGGTGGAAATCACCCTAATGAGATGGGCTTCATGTCAAGTTCTGGTCCTGTGATTCTGTATCAGGCCAAGTATGGAGGAACAGGGGCCTGGGCAGGTGGGGCACCACTGACCACGAGCACATAATTTTGCTTCCCTTGTCTTGGAGACAGGAAGGGGGAGATAATATAAAGGGCCAGACTGTTTTCAGTCTGTAGAATTGAGTTTGGGCTCACTTTGTCCCATTCAGTTGTCATCACTGAGCTAGTGCTCATGTGGAGCCAGTTTGAAAGTGGGGAGTGCGTTGTAAGTTCTTTTTTTTTTTTTTTTTTAAAGTATTTTTATTTTTATTTTATTTATTTTTTTTTTTTTTTAAGATTTATTTATTTATTTGTACAAGCACTGGGTACAGTCAGAAGCGGGAGGGTGAGAGAATTCACCAGAGCCAGAGCGGGGAACAGAACAGGCAGACTGACGAAGTACACTGCTGAGGGGAGCAGCGGGCGGCAGGAGAGGTCTGCGCACCATGTGGGACCCTCGCCCGGCGGCCGGGGATCGAACCAGTGCTGCAGAGGCTGCGGGCAGCTTCGCAACCCAGCGCTCAACCACTGCGCCACCAGGGAGGCCCCGTTGTAAGTTCTTGAAGAGAGGTTTCTGAAGTTGCTCTGAAGCTTCACTGGAGAAAGACCCATTATTTCCTTTGCCTGGTGGGTTCCTGAGCTCCAGAAGGACAAGGATAGAACAGGGAACAGCCCATGAATAGGTGCAGGATTGGGCAGAATGCTCCAGCTGGCCTTTGGGCAGCCAGGGCACTTCCTGTTTTATGGGTGTGGAGTTGTGGGAGAGACTTGGAGCAGCTTTCAATACTGTTTTGTGTCTGGAGCTTGGGAGCTGGCTGCTACCTGGTATTGGATTTGGGGGAAGGGAGAAACAGGTTTCAAAGAGACTTCTATGCCAGTTTCCTCTGGGGACCAAGAAAGGGAAGTGAACTTTTGTTCAGCACCCAAGGATTCCCATAGGATACAGTTGGGGAGCTGGGGCAGAGCCCAGGCCTTAATGGATTGGGAGCACACATGTTTGGAGGGTAGGGACACTTCCCCAGACTCTGCAAGTTCCCAGACCTCACTACTCTCAGTGAGGTGATCATCCCAGTCCTAATGAAGGACCTGCAGTCCTAGGGTACCAGGTCAATTCCAAGTAGTTAATTTTTTTTTCTTTCGGAAAGTTGCATTCTCAGTTATAGTCGATGTAATAACTTTGGGGAACTGACGTTTAAAGAGTAGATGAGACTTAACACCCAACAGTTCCACTTGTTCCTCGCTGCTGGAGCAGTCAAACCTGCTCCGGAGCAGAGCACTGACTTCAGAGAAGTAATGTTAGCTTGTTTGTGTTTCCTTTTAGAAGATTTTTTGCAGGGCAACCTGCTCTCCTTGAAATTAGGTGGGATTTAAGGGTTGGCATCCTGAGGGTTACTATGCCCTCCTATTTAATTTTGTACCCCAGGCAGTTAATGTTGGTACTCACCTGGGGGAGTGAGGAAGTAAGGTGAGAGCTGGGACCTCAGAGACGCGAAGACTAGACAGAATGATTCTGTACCCTAAGAAATTTACACATGGTTATGAAGAACCCTGGTAAAGGGGTAGCCATACTTCCACCAGATAAAACAGACTTGGAGCTTGGGGGGTAGGGAAGGCCCTGGTGCCCTATTTATACAGAATAGCAGCCTGGAACCTTTGCCCCTTATCCCACAGATCTGAGCATTGTTACCTGGCATCCTGTGGCACAAAGCCAAAGGTGGCAAGTAACGGAACTCAGCGGGCTGTGGGCAGATGCTTGCATCCTTTTGTGCGAATTGGCCTTGATCACCCTGCACTCTGTGCTTGAAGAGGTTCCGCATCCCCAGGTGAGAAAACCAGCTCTCCAGGGCTGGGGTCATCGCAGCGGACCCGGAGGCCTCGCTGCGATGTCATCGTCTGGAACATCTGTGGGGCGTGAAGTCGGGAGAGGGATTACTCATGGAAGCGGACACGCTGGGCAGAGGGGGGAGCCGAGGTGAAGGAGTCCCCTCTGAAACTGCAAGCTCGACCCCGCACTGTGGGCGCCCAGCTCTCCGCCCGGGCGCTCGCGAAACCCGAGGAAAACGGGCCGCCGAGCGCACTGGGCCCCGGGGCTCGCCCCGCCCCCTTCTGCAGCGCGGCTCCGCATTGGCCGCGCCGGGGCCCCGCCCCGCTCCCTCGCGCCGATTGGCCGCGGGCCGCCTCCCGGCCGAAGGCGCAGCGGCGCAGAGCCGGATTGGTGGTCCCGCGGCCCGGGTCGCGGCAGCGAGCCCCGCCCGCCGCTGCGTCCCCACTATGGCGGCGCCCATGCAGCCCACCGCGTCGTGGGCGCCCGCCGGGGTCCCCCGCGGCTGCCGCCGCCGCCTGCGCCGCCGCCTCCGCCTTCCCGCCCGCGTCGGGCCGGGCGCCGCCGCCCCCCTGCCTCCCTCTCCGCTGCGGTAAGGACCGGCCTGGCGCGCTCCGGGCGCGGCAGCCGCTGCGGCTAACGGTCGCGGCCGCGTCCGTCCCCTCCCCCGCGCCCGCGGCCCCGGGTCCTCGCGGGGCGCGCAGCCGGCGCGGGCTCCCTCCGGGGATGGAGAGGTCGGGGCACGGCCCGGCCGCCCCCGAGTGATGAAGTCAGGCCCGGGCCGGGTCGGGCCGGCGCGTCGGCCCCTGCGTGGTCCGACGGGGTGGGGGCCGCCGGGCCGCGGGGAGACCGCTGCTCCCCGGAACACAGCTGAGGTCACTGGAGTGCCAGACCCCGCGGGCCGCGCATGCCGGCGCAGAGAAAGGACACGGCCGGGCGGGCGTCCTCTGTGGGAAGAGGAGAAAGAAAGTCCAGGGAAAATCTGAGCGGGAATCTGCAACGTGCGGATCGCGGTTGGCATCGCGCGCTGCCCCAGGCGATGTCCAGATGTCCCTTCAGGGAGCCCGGTCAGCTTCACTGGCCAAGCACGTCGCTTTTGCTTCCTTTTGTTCTGGCACCTCTTCCCTTTGTTTACCGGGTGATCTTTCTTGCAAAAGAACATAAATATCTTAGTGCTGAGGTGAGATTTGGTTAGGTTAGTGTCCCGTGAATATTTTGGATTCATTTTTACAAAAGTGCCCATTTTTTATGATTCCTTATTTCTGTGTTTTCCTCACACGTGAGCAAGGAGTGAAACGTGTGAACTGAAACACGGTCATTAATTGAGAGGCACCAATGAAGGCAGCTAATTAAAAAAATACATCTAAACGTTTCTGTGGATATCCTTGGGATAATCTATTCAAGAGCTAATTGAACATGAAGGTAGAACAAAGCACTTTTATTAGGTGTCTGAAAGTAGAATGTCATGTACAGTTAGGTTATTTCTGTGTCAGAATCACCTTGGACCATGGTCATTGAACTGTTTGCTGTATTTTCAAGTTAAAAGGATTAAAAGAAAGCTGGCATAAAAGTTTAAGACTGGGCCTCCCAGGTGGCGCAGCGGTTGAGCGCTGGGTTGCGAAGCTACCCGCGGCCTCTGCGGCGCCGGTTCGATCCCCGGCTGCTCCCCGGCCACCGAAGGAGGGTCCCACATGGCGCGCAGACCTCTCCTGCCGCCCGCTGCTCCCCTCAGCAGTGTACTTCAGTCCTTCTGCCTGCTCTGCTCCCCGCTCTGGCTCTGGTGAATTCTCTCGCCCTCCCGGCTTCTGACTGTACCCAGTGCATGTATAAACCAAACAAACAAACAAATAGATAAATAAGACATGCCTCTAGAAAATTAAAAAAAAAAAAAAAAAGTTTAAGACTAACTGGTATTTTCAAGTAATTTCTTAAGACCGTAGGAGCTTTGACAATCAAAGCTTCTTAGCTTAAGAGTATTTTGAAGGGATGACTCCACATTAAGTGATGACTCTCCCATTGCATGTGTCTAAATGTCTAACGCTAGTTCAATGAAAGTAAGTTATTAAAGAGGGAAAAAGTTGTTCATAGTCTTTTTTTTTTTTTTTTTAAGATTTATTTATTTATTTATTTATTTATTTATTTATACAAGAACTGGGTACAGTCAGAAGCGTGGGAGGGTGAGAGAATTCACCAGAGCCAGAGCGGGGAGCAGAACAGGCAGAATGATGAAGTACACTGCTGAGGGGAGCAGTGGGCGTGGCAGGAGAGGTCTGCGAGCCATGTGGGACCCACGCCAGTGGCCGGGGATCGAACCGGCGCTGCAGAGGCTGCGGGCAGCTTCACAGCCCAGCGCTCAACCGCTGCGCCACCGGGGAGGCCCTGTTCATAGTCTTAGAGTCTAACTTTGGATCTATCAGCAAGTGTCTGTTGAATAAATACTATGTGCAAGGCAATATGACTGTAGGGAATTCAGTGTGCAAAGTATGAGGATGGTTCTAATGGGCTTATAAAATTGTGGTGGGATTGAAGGGCACACAGGAAAATGATAACTAAGGATACAGTCTTTAGAATTCTAAGACGGTACTGTGAGCATTTGGGAAAAGAAGCCATGTGTTTGGGGAATGTTTCATAGGGGAGCTGAGGCTTGGGTTGAGCTATAAAGGGATAGATAAAGGGAAAGGAAAAGGGAAGAAATGAGAAAGTGAGGATGGTAAGTTGGCAGGGAAAAACGTGAAATGCTCATGGGTTTTTACAAGAAAAAGCAGAAAATAATGTTGTATGTAATAGGTAGGTTTTATGGCATCTGATCAAGAAGTAATTTGCCCCTGTTGTGAGCTAAGTGTAAACAAGTAGTAGTATTTACTCCAGATGAAACTGGAACTATTATAAAAGATATACAAAATAAAACTTTTTTGGTTAATGTTTTCCTTGTAAATTTTTCTGATTAACCTCAGCTATTTGGAGTAACAGTTTTCTCAGCTGCCCAGGATCTGCACTTGCTTTTCTTTACCCCTCTGTGTTTAGTTAGTTGCCAGCTCTTGTAGATATGACCCCCATGCTATTTCTGGCGTCTACTTCTTTCCATTCCTACAGTTATCACACTGACCTGAGGCCATTGATATCATTCTCTTTATTTAGTGCAAACCCCCCCCCCAACAGTTTCCTTTCCTCCCATCTGTCTTTCATACTACCATCCAAATCTTCCCCCAGCCAAAACTTAGTGGTTCTCCACAGTTGATTGAACTTAAGTACAGGCCAACCTGTCATCAGCAGTATGGGTAAACTCATTTCTTGCCATCCCCTTGCATTTTATTATATTGTGCTCTGTTGTTTGTGTGCCATATCTTTGCTCATGTTGCTTTTTTTCATTTGTAATAACACCTTTGAGTCTCTAATAGTTGGTTCTTACCTGTGCTCTATGGCCGTTTGATATGAAACTTCCTTTGTGAATTTTTCTGTTTTTTCCTCCCCATCTAGATGGAACTTGTCTCTGTAAACCGTTGCGACACTTAAGTCTGCTTTTTAGTCATAACTACCCACATAAGAATGAAACTTTTTTAATACATGGACTATCTTCATCTATACAGGGTTTTGTACATAGTAGGTCCTTGGTAAATGTATTTTATGTTGAACATAGCTTTGAACCAGATGGATGCAAAGAAAATTCTTTTTGCAAACAAAATGTTCATCATATTATTCTGTAAAAATAAACTTATGTGAGAGAATTCCTTACTGAGAAATCTGGTGTTTTGGTCTGAATAGCTTAGATAAGGATGAATTAACAAAAACCTTAATGACTTCAGTGGCTTAACAGAATAAAAGTTGACTTCTCATCCATGCCACATGTACAGTATGAATGCACAAGGAATGCTGCTTCTCCCAGCCACTCAATGACCAGGCTGATGGAAACTCCATCTTAACATGATATTTCCATGATAATTTCTTTTTAAAGATTTATTTATGCATACAAGAGCTGGGGTATAGGACAGAGGTGTGGGGGCTGAGAGGATTTACCAGAGACAGAGTGGGGAACAGAATAGGCAGATTGACTGAAGTACAATGGAAGCAGCGGGTGGGACAGGAGAGGTCTGCTGCACTGTCAGCTCCAGCCTGGGGGTTGAACTCTGTCAGCTCCAGCCTGGGGGTTGAGTTCGTTGCAGTGGCTGCTTGATAGTGCTGAGACTTAACCCTTTGCACCACCAGGGAAGCCCTTCATGATAGTTTTGATTGGGTGAAAGATGGTGGTCAGGGGACATTGGCTCTGAAAGTTTTTGTCCCTGGACCTCCCTGGTGGCGCTGGGGGTTAAGCACTGCACTATGAAGCAATCTGCAGCCTCTGCAGCACAAGTTGGATCCCTGGCCGGCCAGGGAGAAACCCATATGGCGAGGCAGACCTCTCCTGTCTCGCCCACTGCTCCCCTCAGCAGTGTATTACAGTCAATCTGCCTGTTCTGTTCCCCACTCTGTCTCTGGTGAATCCTCTCACCCCTGCACCTCTGGCCTGTACCCCAGCTCTTGTATGCATAAATAAATAAATAAATATTAAAAAAAAAAAGTTTTTGTCCCAAAGCAGCACACGTCACTTTCATTCACATTTCATTGGCTAAAGCAAGTCAGTTGGACATGCCTAACTTCAAAAGACAGGGACTTGCAGATAGCATGTTCAAGGAAAGCAAAGAGCCATAAATTTGTGACTGCACTAATGAGTATTACATCTTCTGTGAGTGTCATGCCCTGTAGAAGATCAGAGGCAGCAATGTCAGAGGGGCTGCTAGAGATAAGCATGTTGAGAGTAGCAAGAAATAACCGCTTTAGGCTTGCAGTGAGGGTGAATTGGGAAGTCAGCACTCTATTGCAAGCCCTGTAAATACTCATGTGCCATCGACTGTGCCTAGTCATAGCACAGTCATTCCTAGAGATATATCTCGTTGTACAGCATCCTCTGGAACTGCAGGAGTTATCTAAAAAAAAGCTTAGTTATGCTCAAGATATTCCATTTAAGAAAGCCAGGAAGTGTGTAATAGCTGGGGGTATAACTTCATATAAATAGTTAAAATGAAAAGGAATCAGTTTAGCCTTATTGGCTGATTGGCTGAATTGGGCTTATTTGAGGTTTTCAAGCTTTGGTACTTGGTGGGGATGGAGGGACGGCAGATTTCACTTTAACTCGTCTGGATGGAGCACTTGTCTTCTTTCTTTTTTTTTAAACAATCTATTTATTTAAAGATTTATTTATGCATACAAGAACTGAGGTACAGGCCAGAGGTGTGGAGGGTGAGAGGATTTACCAGAGACAGAGTCGGGGGGAGAACAGGCAAAGTGATGGAAATACACAGCTGAGGGGAGCAGCGGGCGAGACAGGAGAGGTCTGCCATACCATGTGGGTATCTCCCTGCGGCCTGGAATTGAACTCATGCTACAGAGGCTACGGACAGCTTCACAGCACTGTGCTCAAACCCCTGCACCACCAGGGAGGCCCCAACTGTCATATTCTTGAGCCCAGGTTTCCTTCCCAGTGAAATGCATGTTTGTGGGGATTAGTGAGTGAGTTTGTATAAAGTGCTTTCATGGTAGCTGGTTGAAAGTAAGCCT